TTATAGAAAATCCAAAATTGTATTAAGCTAGATTGAAATTACATAATCAGAAGCAATAGTATCAAAAGGGAAGAGTCTCCTTTAACAGGAAAGTCTGTCAGCACATTGACCTCCCTATAAACAAGATCAAAGAAAACAGAAAAGGAGGAGAGATCCAAAATCTCCTCCCTTAGCAAGAAAGTCTGCCAGCACATTGGCCTCCCTATAAACATGATCAAAAGAAACAGAAAAGGAGGAAAAGAGATCCAAAATCTGAAGCAGCAAAGATTTGAACTCCCAAAGCAGCTTCTGATCCCCTTTACACCACTTAATGACATTAAGGGAATACCCTTTAAGGATACAAGAGCACCCCAAATTCCTTTTCACAAGGATATGCAGGCCATATAAAAGACCAAACAATTATAAAAAATTAGCTGTATACGTAAAGACAACATTCCTCATCAAATCCCGAAGCACACCTTCAAAACCAATTGGACCCAGGTTCCCTATCGAGCTACCATCAAAATTAAGTTTGTAAATCCCAAGGGGTGGAGTCACCCATCTTCCTTTAGGCCTGCATCTAAGGAAACTCATTTGAAACATATTATTTAAATTTCTTCTAACATCCACTTATGATATGTCCTGGCCAACTTTGGTAATTGAAAAGATATAACCAGATAGAATGCAACACCCTCTCCAAAATTTTCTCGAAAGGTATACAATTCCCATAAAAAACTCTTATGTTTCTCTCTTTCCAGATTTCCCATAGTATGACACCTCTAGAAATTTGTAAAATAACAAACCCGATCCGTGGTAAATCAATCGACAATTTTGTAAAACCCGAACCACTAAAGGGGGCATTACACGTTAAAGATAGAGTTCATACAATGAGGTCATTTGAAATATCTATCTCTCTATACTAACAATCTTTTCTACTAAATTTATTTCAGAAACCTAAAAAATTAGATTTTTGAGAACTTGAAGTGTTATTTTGAAAATTAGTACGCATTCTAATAATTTCTAAATTGATAACCAAATCTTGTATTTTATTTATTAATTTATTTACACTATAAATTATGTAGGTGATATTATAAGATAGTTTAGATTTATTATTATTTGTATAGTAAAATAATTATAAAATGTAAACGAACACTTTTAATTTCAGTATATAATATTATAGTTAGTACTATTACTTTTATGTGATACTAACTTCATTTTATATGAGAAATTATTGTTTTTAATCCTATAATATAAAAGTGTTCTCTAATATTTTTAAATTATATTGATATAATACTATAATACTATTTTATGATTAATTGTACAACACCCATATAGGAAAACAATATCTCAGTATTCACCTATTTTTACAAAGTCATAAAAGTACATAATGCACAACTCCTAAATTCTTTTAGAAACTAAAAAAACCCTATTTTTAGAGATTTATAGTGCTTTTTTTTAAAAAAATAGAGACAAAAATTGCCATTTCTCTGATCCGATCCATCAATTCTCCAATCCAACATAGGTATGGGTGTGACCGATTCGAGTCACTGATCCATTTTTTAAACCTCCATCGATACTAAAGCATCCACGGTTGCAAAGGATGTGGTAGGGTTTAGATGGTGGTGGTGGGATTTGGATTCATTGGTTTGAGCACATATCAAAATTGAGAGGTGTTTGTTGCTGAGCTTCTGCAGGTTCCAAGACTCAAGACCTCGTTAGAGCTTTCAAAGCTAGTTAGTTGGAAATGTAGTGTACCCAATAGTTAGTGGTTAAAAGATACTGTCAAAGCTAATTAAACATTCAAAAAACAAAAAGCTAATTGGTTGGAAATGTAGTGAAGCCCATAGTTGTTAATAGATGAAGGCACATGCTTTGCACAATACCTCCCACAAACAAAAGGGGGGATGGGACTGGTGATTTGAAACTTTGACCATTAAGACGTTTAATTTTTTGCTTGTATCTCAGTTTTATCCCTTCATACATCTTGAGTTTCTTGACATATTTACCTCAATAATATGTGATTTTTATTCCTTATATCTTTTTATATATCGTTTTATGAAATTAACTTCTTACCTTTTATAAGCTTCCGTGTGCAAGATCTAGAGAAACAAAATCTAGGAGACAGATGTAGGACTTTTTATTTTGGAGAACTTTTAAGTTTTTTTTTTTTCTCATCTATCGGGAATAAGATAAACTTGTATAACATCTGGGGGCTGGATATCTTAAGAGGGAAAAAGAAAAAAAAAATCGTTCTAGGTGGCTGAGAAAGATAAATCAAGCCCACGTCCCTTAATTTGAGGGTGAATTACATAAAAAATTGTCCTCACTAACCAGTTATCGCAGTTGTATTTCCCTAAAATTTGAAAGAGACTATAAAAGAATCTATGTATTTCGAGAGATTCTGAGATCTATAAACTTAGTTATTGTCTTAGTGTCCGTTTTAGATTGATTTCCAGATAAAGGAAAAAAACAGAGTCAGAGAGAACTTCAATCATATTCTTTTTCTTAGTAATATAGATAGATATAAAAAATAAAAGTGAAGTTCTCAAATAATAAAATGATCTTCCATCATAGGAATCGATTTGGGGCACTGGTGGTTAGGGAGGCTGACGCCTCAACATAACGTCCTACTCTCCACTCCCACCGTTCACGTCAGAAAAAAAAAAAAAAAAACCGTCAATCATGCATATGGATTCCTTCTCTTTAAGAGAATGAATGGGGAGAGAAATGAGGCCCAATCATGTACAAAAGAGTAAAAGATTAGTTAGCCGGTCATGCGCTTTCATAATCCACTGAAGAAAAATAGAGCCATGCTCTTGCATACAATGTTGCTTTCATAATCCACTGAAGAAAAATAGAGCCATCCTCTTGCATACAATGTTAAAAATATGGATTGCATACAATGAGTCCATTTACATATAAAGTGAACACAATTACTTACAACCATGCTTTCATAATCCACTGAAGAAAAATAGAGCCATGCTCTTGCATACAATGTTAAAAATAGGGATTGCATACAATGAGTCCATTTACCTATAAAGTGAACACAATTACTTACAACCATCCGATGTGAAATCTGATTCTGATAGCTTAGACGTATCACAAACTTCAAGAAAATATCTTTTAAGCTTTGAGCTTGATCAATGAAATACATGCAACCATCCGATTTCACAACCAATGGTCAATATTAATTGTGAATACCTTGTACTTATGGTCTTAGTGGTCAGATAAAATGCTTCATGGTCACGACCAGAATACATATGGTGGCAACCAAATGTGCTTGGATGGTATACTGGTCAAAAATTTCATGTTCAATGTACAATTCTTGCTCCCATCATTCTATTAATTGCAACAAACATCGAGTCAAGAAAAAAAAAAAAAAAGTGCTTACAGGGGCACTTCACTCCAACAATTCCTTAACCTGCAAGCTGTTTGAATGATTTGAAACACTTGAATAAAGTGGCCATGATGAATGAATATGCATCACTGCGCAAGCTGAATCTCTACCAAAAAGTCAGCACATGAAACCTCAAGGTGGAAAGAAGAAGAAAAGAAATCACTATTCTTTTGTTTCTAAAAGAAGCAATTTGTGTCATGGTTAGCTGGGATTGCTACTTTTTCTTTGTAAAACTAAAACTAGTGAAAACACTTGCCATATTAACTAAACTGCCTTTTCTTCAAAGAGTATCTTGCAAAATTTGCTCACGTAAACATTACAAAACAACTGCCTAGTCTGAATCCGAGGAGATTTCAGGTTGGTCCTTCAAAGCATGTGCCATCTTCGCAAGCCCCTCTGCCATGTCGTCAACTTCATCTTTCTGAAACCCCCAACTTTGAAGAAGCTCGACACCATAGGAACCCCTTGCAGTTCCAAGCTTTCGAATATCTGCCAGCCTCTTCTCTATGAAGGGTAAGATTGCCTTGCTTGAACGTAGCCTTGTAGCCATTGGGATTGATGAAACTCCAAGGGAGCCTCTTGCTCGAACCCCAAATATTGGTTCTTCTAGTATTTCACCGTAACCACCGATGCGGTTCCCAAAGATGGAAGGGAAGGGGAGTGGTATTGGGAGAGGACAGAGCGATGTGGAAAGATGAGAAAATAATGGTCTAATTGCTTGATTTTGGTAGCCATATTCTATGGAGTTTTTGACTTGGTGGATTGAAGCTCGGCTTCCACCTGCTAGTGAATGTATTTGTGAGATGCCAAGCATTCAAATCAAGTTAAAAAAGATGGTCATAATTTCTCATTTTTGATGATGGTTCTCTTTAAATCATTTCCTTTTGTCTTTATTTTGTCTGCTTTATATCTTCTCTATGAATTTTTCACAGAAAGGTGCATCTTCTCTATGAATTTTTCACAGAAAGGTGCAATAAAACTGTCAGTGAATGCATATATGACATGCCAAGCATTCAAATAAGTGGGATGAAATTTGTTTCTCTTTAACCATTGCTTATTATCATTTTGTGGTCTTAATATCTTTTCTATGTAAAGTTAACCGATTCTCAAAAAAAATATCTTCTCTATGTAAGTATGCTAAAAAAAATAAAATCTTGTTAGTGTCAAGATATGATGTGATACGTAAACTCCATGTGATGGATAATCTCATTCCCATGTTGGACCCAATATGTTTATTTGCTTTTCAACTTGACCTTCTTCCATAATTGGACTGCTGCATCTTACCATCACAGAAAAGAAAAAGAAAGCCAAAAAATAGGAAAGGATGCACACTGCATCATTATCCACAACTACTGAGCTAAAAACCTTTCCCCATTATAAATTGTGATTAGAGAGTATTCCATACCTGATAAAAGGGCTCCGTGAATGACCATTGTTTCTACCCCTCGCCTGTCTTCACTGCCCTCTGCAATGTTAGGCGTTAAAGAACGCAAACTCCGATGGAGACCTACCTCATTTCGTTCTCCTGAAGCCAATAATTTAATGAACTCTTCAAACAACCCAAGTATATTTAACAGACCGAACTTCTAGTTTTCCACTTATCAAGAGAGTGATCTATTAAAACAGCAAAGGAGCCAATGATGCATATATCCCTTTGAATAATTAAATATATTTCATAAACCCAAATTTTCTTCTTTAAATCATTAACTTAAGACATTTACCAATCAGAGGAGAGGGCATCGCCATATCAAGAATGGTCACCATGTTTTGCCAGGCTTGACCTGATAACATTTGGGTCATAGTACCAATATCAAGAGCACCAGCAATGAGTTCAGAGTTGGCAGAGGGTCCTGGCAACATCATTCTGAATGGAAGAGATATGGAATGTAGGGCAGCCGCATAGACTGCACTAGTGTGGAAAGGTTTCGCATCATCAACACAGAGAAACCTGGAAGCATCGCCTTTTATGGAAAACATTAAATCGATGTCAGGTAAGTGAGACGGCAAAGCGAACATGACATGCCTAGCACTTTGCTTAGCTTAACCTTCAGAGAAAGCTTTGAATGAGTCATCCATGGATGTATATATATTTTTTGTTGGGAGGGGGGGGGGGGAGAGAGAGAGAGAGAGAGAGAGAGGACGGACGAAGTATAGTACGTACCGTAACGACGAACGGAAGGAACGACTACTACTACTACTAAGTACGACCGACCGTACCTACTTCGTAGTTACTTAACTTAA